AGAGTCCATAATACAGAGATTTTATTTAAATATAATCAAGTCCTTTCTGTCAAGTTTAGTTGGTGTCTGCAGAGCTGACTGAGACTTCTTTCTCAGAGTTCCGCTCTTTCTACTATCACTTTTTGGGAGGCACAGATTATGCCACAGGCACAGGGAATTCTTCTCCTTAGGAAATATGAAATGTAGAGGGTTCTGGAGTCGGCATTTAGCAAGGATCATCTCATTTAGAAGCATAACAATTTTCAGCTGCAAGAAGCTTGAGTTTGACAGTGAATTTGGGAATCTCTCTACTTCTTCCAAATTACTCAAAAGCAACAACAACAACAAAAATAAACAGAAAAAACAAGCTCCTTCTTTAATGGAGCTTAGAGGCATCCTTACCTTTTATTAGAAAGCCTACAAAAGGTCGACTGGGGGTGTGAGGCAATGTTAAGAGCAGTCATGCCCTAATCAGTTTGACTCAGTGGATAGAGTGTCAGCCTACAGACTGAAGGGTCCCAGGTTCTATTCTGCTCAAAGGCATGTACCTTGGTTGTGGGCATATCCCCAGTAGAGGGTGTGCAGGAGGCAGCTGATTGATGTTTCTCTCTCTCTTCCTCTCTGTAAAAAATCAATAGAATATATATTCCTGGCTAAGGGCTTCCCTTGACCTCATGATATCAATTCTACAGAAGCTTGAACCACTGGGTTGAAGGAGAAATTATAGAGAAAAGCCATGTTTACCAGAAGTACTCAGTGAGACAGAGATGACAGATAAGCTGAAAATTTTCAAGAAGGGAAAAAATAAAATCATCATAAAAATGAAAGATATAGTAGAAGTAGCGTACATGAAGATTGGCAGGATACAATACAATCCTATCTAATAAAAGAGTAATATGTAAATTGATCATCACACCAAGACACAAGATGGCTACCCCCATGTGGACATAAGATGGCTGCCATAAGATGGCCAGCAGGGGAGGGCAGTTGTGGGAATTTAGAGGTGACCAGGCCAGCAGAGGAGGACAGTGGGGGGGGGGGGACCCAGGCCTGCAAGGGAGGGAAGTTGGGGGAGACCAGGCCTGCAGGGGAGGGCAGGTGGGGGGGGATCCAGGCCTGCAGGGGAGGGTAGTTGGGGGGACCAGGCATGCAGGGGAGGGAAGTTTGGGGGGCAGGCCTGCAGGGGAGAAAGTTGGGGGGGAAAGGCCTGCAGGGGAGGACAGCTGGGGGGGACCAGGCTAGCAGAGGAGGGTAGTTTAGGGGGACCAGGCCTGCAGGGGAGGGCAGTTGGGAACCAGCAGTCCTGGGTTGTCAAAGGGATGTATGACTGCCCAGGATTGGGCTGATCTGGGATTGGGCCTAAACGGGTGGTCGGACACCCCTCAAGGGGTCCCAGATTGGAGAGGGTGTAGGCTGCACTGAAGGACACCACCACCCTGTGCACAAATTTCATGCACTGGGCCTCCAGTATGAGAATAAAAGAGAAGCCAAAAGCAGAAAGGAACAGAGGAAAAAATGGTAGCTCTGGAAGACAGGCGAAGAAGACTTAGTGGGCATCTAACTGGTATCTTTGAAGAAGGAACCCCCAAAATATATCTCAGGATATAATTCAAGAAAATTATTCGGAGATAAGAGAAGACTTAAATGTGCAAATTGAATGGCCTTCCTGTGTGTCAGAAAAATTCACACAGATAGGCCTACAGAACAATCAATAGCAAGTTACTGGATTTAAAAGACTGAAAAAAAAAAAAAAAATCTGGGTCATCCAAACACAACGAAGGCCAACTATAAGCCAGAACCAATCACGCTGGCCTCCAACTCTTTCCCATGAACGTTCCATTGTAGGAACAGAGGAACAATGTTTACAAAGACATTGAGAAAATGAGGTCATGTCTAAGAGTGTTACAGCTAGTCAGTATACACACAAAGAAAATAGGAAACAGCTGAGAACATGAAATAACTCAGAAAACATAATTTCTATGGCTCCCCTTGAAGAAGCTACAAGAAGACAAATTGACAACAGAGAGATTAATAGAAAACTATGGCAAAAAAAAAATGGTGGTGAGTATTGACTGTTTAATTGTGATCCTGTCAAGGTAGTGAAGGGGATCAAAACGTGGCACCCCAAATATGTCACATCGGAATAAGGATTATTTTGAGCTAAAGGCGACTGAGAAACAGAAAGTGCAGAAAGAGCTCTCTGCCGTCCTCCTATCACCTAACAGCAGGATGGGCATGTCCTTTCTGAAGGTCTGGCCCTCCACTCTCCCGCATTCTCACTAAGACAGGAAGCTGCCCTGAGATAGTCTGCAAAACAAACCCTCCCAAAGTCACCTGCCTCTTCCATTACTTCCCCATATGCTTACCCTCCCATGGTTTACCACCACCCCACCACCCCGCTCAGAGCCCAACCTCCTTTCCTTTGTCTTGTCACTTCCCAAGAGAGTATATAAGCCCCACATTCTAACTGCCTCTTTGAGTTACTGGTCACCAGGGGCTCTGCGTGTGTATGGGCTCTGCGTGTGTAAAGAAGCTGTTTTATCCCACGCCCCGTTAAGCCATTTTCTGGTAGTTCACTTCCCAGGCCTTTGGTGCTGAACTTAAGGGGTAGAGGAAGGTGTTTTTTGGTTGTGTGTGTGTTTTTAACTCTCCTATCGTTCTAGTGACTTAACTAGCAAACGCTGGGAGAAGAAGGGGAACATGATAAAAGAGAAAATAAGCCACTCATATTTTACTGTGGAGGTCAAAAGACTACAATTGAAACTTGTAAACCAAGTAACAGAGCTATCGGTAGGTGTAAAGACCTAAGGATTCACACCAACACAAGTAACATAATCCACTTCAGCTCAGTCAGTCAGATCTGGTTCCATTTTTTTTTTTTTTTAATGATACCGAGTACTCCAAGTTCTGAACACTTGAAAAGGTAGGTCATATTCACGAAAAGAAAGACAGAACATTATAATGATTTCATTCTTAGGTTAATACAATCACAATAAGAATTATCAGCAGGATATTGTGCAAATTGGACAGGCTGACTCTAAAGTTCAAATAAATAAACAAGGGAGAAAAAATGGAAAAATTATGCGAAATCTGAGTCCTAAAGTAAGGACATAAGGGTGTTTATATTTTATGTGTTTTATTTTGTTTTAAACTGTAATAATTAAAATAATGTGGATCTACAGCATCAAAAGCCTAAAAATATATCTAAATAGATATAATAATTTAGTAAATAATAAAAGTGGTATTTTAAATCAGTAGAAAAGATGCCCAAGAATATAATCATCTGGAAAAAAAATAAATTAGAATCCCCACCTTACATGTTGCATCAAAACATATTCTATGTGGATCAAATATCTTCAGGTAAAAAGTTAAAACCACGAAAATACTAAAAAATATATAGGTTAAAGAAAATTCTCATATGGTAAAAGATCTTTCTAAAAAGAACACAATACCTGGAGTCATAAAAAATTTGTAAAGTTGACTGACTACACAAAGATAAAAGTGTTGGGGAAAACATTAAACATTTAATAAACATTAAAGAGTCACGCAACACACTGGCGTGGAAGGGGGTGAGGGGAAATTCAATTCAGACCACAGACGATGGACTGATTTTCTTAAAAGAATGTATTGATTCTTAAAAGAATTTCTCTTGCCAAAACCGGTTTGGCTCAGCGAATAGAGCGTCGGCCCGCGGACTGAAAGGTCCCAGGTTCGATCCCGGTCAAGGGCACGTACCTTGGTTGTGGGCACATTCCCAGTAGGGATTGTGAAAGAGACAGCTGATTGATGTTTCTCTCTCATCGATGTTTTTAACTCTCTATCCCTCTCTCTTTCTCTCTGTAAAAACTCAATAAAATACATTTAAAAAAAATCTTCCTCATTCCAACCTATAACCACCATACTTTCTCTTAAAAAAAAAAAAAGAAAAAGGAATTCCTCTTAATATATAGGAAAAAGCACATCAAGAAAGGCAAATATATATTGGGTATTAAGCATATAGAACACTAAAAGTAAAGAGATGGCCAAGTTCATTCATGGTAAAGAATGCAAAGCAAAACTGCACTGTGATGCCATTTTTACCCATCTGGGCAAGGTAAGAACCACTGCCAACAAGCACACTGCTGGAAAATTAAGGAGAACGGGCATTCTCAGAATGTAAATTGGTACACGTTCCATCAAAATCAGTTTGCTAATAGTTGAACAATTATAGAATGCACTTTTTCTTTAGCCAGACAATGCTACAGACCTGCACAGTTAAAATGCCATGTATGCAAGGTTGTTTGCTATAATAGCTCATAGTGGCATAGACTCCCTTTCCACCAAAATGATAAACGAAGTCAACCATATAATGGAATATAATATAACCATAAAAAAGTCAGACTTTGGGAATCAGTGTGCCATGCAATTTTGAAGAATTTACTGCTTCCAAAAAAACTGTATAGAGAACTATAGTCATTGATTGTCATTACCACATATTATAAAACTCCTTGCTCCTCATTCTTCCAATCTTGTACACATCAGAAATCTAAAAACTGGATAATCAAAAGTGGCCAACCAGATGGAAAATAGAGAACTATAACCTGTTGGGAGTTGAAGAATACTGTTCAAATGTCACATCCAATGTCAAAATGCAAAGCATATTGTAAAGTAGCACAAACGGAACAGTATAGCCTAAGAAGCCACCTGAAACACTCATCGCCTGCAAGGAAAACCTGCAGAAATGAGTCAGAAATTATTTTCCAAATATGCTGTCTCCCTGCTTTCTCCAGCTCAAAGCACAAGTGTCCTTTGGAAATTGTGCCAACAGTTTGCTTTCAATATAGCAAAACACTCTTCCTCCTCAACCAAAAAAATAATAAAGAAGAACTTAGACTCTGAATTATAAAATTCCCTCTGTTACTGAGCCCACTTTGTTCTATTCTCTCCTCATAGTATATTTGGATGATCTAATTCTCCTCACTAAACACACACACACAGTACAGAATTATAGACATAAAGAGAAATGTCTAATGAATGCTTACCTGATAACGTGTTGGCTGATTGAGAATGCTGTTAAAACTGTGTGATTCAAAAACTCTGGAGTTAGACTGAGTGAAGAGGTTTAACTAGGAAAAAATACAATTAACCTAGTAAATTAGAATACATTCACTTCGAAATAACAAATATAATCTACTTTATTCTCCTTGATAATATTTCTAGAGTCAGCACTTCTGAGGGACATTTTGTGGAAGATGAGTGTAGACGGGGTTTAATATATTTCCGAAGGTCAAAGTTAATGGGAGCAACATACATCACTGACGTGCTGGCAGCATGCGCTGTCACGAGCTGATTAATTGAGAACTGTCTTTTATAAGTGGGCTTGCTAAGCATTCCTGATCCTAGGGACCGTGTACATGTTATCAACATGTATCCAGGGCGCCTAGAAGGCAAAGCTGCACAGAAGCGATTCTACCTGCTCCGAGCCTGGCTCCTCTCTCAGCAGCCTCCCCGGGATTGCTGCTCTTCCTGCTGGCACCCCACAGGGAGCACGCCTGCCCCTCACGGTTCTGGGCACACCGTACCCCCTCCCCTCCCCCGCAGGGTCCAGGTAGCCATATGGCACCTGAATGCCTTGTCCGCTAGCATCTTCCCTTCTACACCAAGACACCATCAGGCAGGAAGTAGGGATCTGCGGCCTACAGAAAGACAATGCTAGGGTGTGAAGTGTAAAGAATAAAGCCTCAGTTGCCAAATGCCCAGAGAAGCAAAGTCAGTTCAGCAGTAGCAGAATTTGCCCAAGATGGCAAGTAGTGGCTGGCCCCTTGAAGAGAGCAGCACCCTGCAGCTGGAGGTGCAGCCGGCGGCGAGGTGACAGGAGCCAGGCCAGAGAGCAGCAGTGAGTGGAGGTGCAGGTGCAGCAGGAAGAGCGAGGCATCTGGTGCTGCCTTCAGTCCCACACCTGCCCTGCTAGGCCGGCACCGTGCCCTCGCACAAGTGAGTGACTTTAGTGGCTTCCGCTGTCTCAGCTACAAAGTGGGAACAATAGTCATACCTACCTCACAGTGCTGCATGAGGGTCAAATGTACAGCAAAGCACTTGGCAAACTGTGGATTAAGAAGGGCACTGCTATTTGTCGAGGCTGGAACTTTGTCCGCTTCGTGTCATTCTCACGAGAACCCCACGAGGCTGCCTCTTTCAGTGTGATACTCAGGGCTCAGAGCGATAGAGCACTCTACCCAGGGGACTCGCTAATAGGCTGTAAGCTTGGAACTCAAACCCGGGTCAGGCGCCCAGGCACTCTTCCTGACAGTAAACTGCTCTCAGTGGGCATGCACGGGGTATTGTTTGAAACCGTGGGATGCTGCAATCCTTAACTGCCCACACCCAGGAAGGCTTAAAAGGCCACCTTCTTACAAAGTGAGCTGCCAGGGGGTTACAAGATTTGGAAAGCACCTCTGTCTTCAGAGGTGAGAAGTGAAATCACAGGAATCCAGCCGTTGGCCAGAGTCAGGGCAAACCAAGTCCAGGTCGAATCCGAGGCCTGGATTTCCTGGAGATAACAGTACTGTCTTGCAGCTCCCAGCTCCAGGCCATTTTTACAACCTCAGGCAGAAATGTTACTCCCATGCCTTTCCTCCGACCTGCCTTGCTCACTATTATTTGCGGTTCTGCCCATGTCTTCCTGTGTCCGTTGCCAATTCTGTCTCTGAAAACTAAGTTCATGGTAATAAACTGTTAGCATGAATCTCATCTCCGTTGATGAGTTTGACTCGACCGAGGCCACTCAAGGATACACCATGCTTGATTATTTCTAAAAGGGGCATTTATGGTTAATACTTGAGGATGCTCTTAAGCTTGCATCGATTTTATAACATTGAAGGAAAAAGGAGTCTTTAGCCCAATAAAGGTTCTGTATAAACAAGAAGACTATGGTGGTGTTGAACATCCATACAACCATTAAGAAAATGTGCAGTTAAAACTCTTCAACTTTGGAAGAACAGTTGAGAAACATGGAACGCAAGAAACCAAGTGTTCTGTTCACTTTTAATGAGCTAAGGAATTTCTTGTTTGATTTTAATCGGGTAGCTTACATGAAATTATGACCCAAAGCAAGGCATAGATTACGTGACTTTGTGACTCATAAGGAAAGTATTCATCATTCATCTATGAAAGACTGTGGAATGGACAATACTTTCGACATTTTCTAAGTTCACAGAGAAAAATTATTGGACACACATCGAAAGACCAGGAGAAAGACACCACATTCCCCGTAAGGCCGTGGGGAGTGTCGGATACCTACCCTGGACTTTGAGTTCCCCAGTCCCATTTCTATATCTTTCTGGAGCCTCCTTCTTCTGCATTTGGAAAAGTTAACAATCCGCATGATGAAATAAACAAATGACTTTGGACTGGGAACTAGACTGAAGGGTGGAGGTAATGTTTTTCCATCATCAAAATAAGATAACCAAAGTTTTGAGCGAGCAAACTTCCATTCGACATCACTGTCATCCTGTGTCACAAGATATAAAAGGCAGAACTCATGTTAAAAACTAAAAATTCTAGTAATTGATTCTACAGGGTATTACAATGAACCTAAATTGTGTTTTTGAAATAGATAAGCAAATAGACCTATTTGCTTATAATCTCTATTGTTCTACATAATATTCTATCAACTTCCTTGATACTCATTTTTAAATTTATTTTTCTCTTTCATGTGCTTCTGTATGTACCCACTGAAACTTAACAAGGATTCCTGACTCCCACCGAAGACACAAAGAAAAGCACAAGAAAAAGTCAGGGTCAAGGAAGGATGGGAAGATTATCCTCTTTCCCTGCCAATTCTGTATATCCATCAATAGTTCCCCACTCTCTAGTCTCTCTCCCTCCCATCCAATAAGCTGTAGATATAGCATACTATACCCCCAGGGCAAAGGGGGAAAAACAGTACTCAGATGAAATTGCACTTTGCTGTTTATGTGTCTGCCATATGTCCTCAAATGCCACACAAGGACCTCAGCGGCCTATTGCTGCTTTTTATCTCCTTTGGTCCAGAGAGCTGCCCCCTGGTGATGGGTGTGACCATCCTACTGGGAGAAATGATGGAGAGGAGTGGAAGTTCACACTCGCTAGACTAGCAGGAATGCAAAGTACCATAGTTCTCCTACCTGGAGGGCCTTGCTTCGGCTTTAATAACACTCTCTGTGTGTCTCGATAAAGCACACAGAGAGATTCAATGGACTTAACAAACAGCAAAACCCTAAAAAGCTACTGAACACTAAACCAGAGGACATAGAAAACATACAACCGTGAAGAAAGGTTCCAACCAGCTCAATCCAAAACCCAAAGTAAAATGATTTCCACAACAGTAGAAGTTCCAACTGGATAAAGAACATCATAAATGTTTGCCAGATGCCTAGCAATCCCCCTCCAGGACCTTTCACAGTGGATGGCTAATGGGGAGAGAGCAACCTCCCAATGCCTAGCACTTCCTCCAGCCGCCATTTCAAATGTCTGAAATAGACCCCGAAAGTGATGCTAAAGCCGTGGGGAGCCCCACTGTGCCCCTAGAAGACGCTGGAAGGCACAGGCTGTCTATCAGGAGGAAAACCCAGAGGACGCCTGGGCGCACCCCACCTCTCGCTTCCAGGAGCTGGACCACCCACAGGGCACGACACAGAATGACGGCAAGGACAGACCCACGGGTAGGAGTCTGCTTACCTCAATTTCTTGATACGAGCTGTTAATCATAGCTATTAACATGTTGAGCAAAACAACCACCATAGTCACATTGTATATTCCATAAAGCACATATCCAATATTCTCTATAAACTTGTGATCATATTTGAGCACAACTGAAGTCACTTCGGACAACCCGAATATGGACCAAAACAGAGTCTTGAAGCTTTCTTCCACACTGTCGAAAGAATGAGGCACACAGTCAGCAAGCTAACAGTTTTCCGTGTTAAAAAGTCAGAAGTAAAAACAAGTATGGGTCTGGCCACTGTACCAATGTCAATGTCATCATAAAATGCCACCATAAACCCCAGAATGGAATTATCTATATAGATAAAACCCTAAGTGACCATTCGACCATTCAGTATTCAACTGGTTGCTATGACACTCACTGTTTGCCCCCTGGTGGTCAGTGCACTCCCACAGTGGAGCACCGCTTAGCTGACTGATGGGTGCCAGACACAACACTTTTGACTAGCAAGCACAGCTGCAGCTGTAGCTATCGAACAACCATGCGGCCACAGCTGCCAGCAGGCACAGCTGGGGAGGGGGTTGGGGGAGGGGATGACGGAAGACTGGGAAGAACTGGATTGGTGAGGCACCTGGCCCGACTTGGGCTCCTCCCCGCCACCTGTCACTTTGTACACTACTACATCCCTGGGGGGATGTCAGACTGCCGATTTCAGCCGATCCCAGAGGGTCCCAGATTGTGAGAGGGCACAGGCCAGACTGAGGGGCCCCACCAGGCTGAGGCTGAGGGCCCTGGGTTCGTGTACCGGGCCTATAATGTTTACTATAATGTTTAACGTAAGTTATTCTCAGGTTTTCAGGAGCGTGTGGTTACTTTGTGTTGATGCCTAGCCGCTCTGTAAGTTATCCAGGAAAACGTCTCCAGAGTAGACTTTTTGGGGGGAAAGAAGTTCTACCACGATACCCATTCCTGTCTCCTAGAAGGATAGAAGTTTGGGGTGTGATCTTGTAGGTGGTTTAGAATCTCAATCGGGTTTTCTGAAGTAGAACAAGGTCGGGATTAAAAGTATATGCCCACTTCCAGAAAACTATGCACAGGCATCTTCCTTACAGCGGGCAGTGGGGCAGAAAGAGCACCCTGACATCCACCCATAGGGCGTGGGTAAACAGTTCTGTACATTCATAGGGGAAACACTGTGACCCAGATCTATCCTCCTGCTTCTATATAAAATGATATATTCTTCAGTAAAAAAAGAAAGAAATAGCAAGTGTGAAATAGCCTACAATTTGAATAAAAAGAAGGGTATACGAACGCTTATCTTCTTGTTTATGCAAAAAATCTCCGACAGAAACCCCTGCCCCTGGGAATTGGGGGACACTCAGAGCTGTGGTCCCAGGCGAGGGGTCAGACTTTCCCAGCTGACACTGCTCCCATGAGCCATGTCACAGGGACTAGCACCTGCCAGGAGGTATGCTTGGCTGCAGACGAAGAGGAGGAATCAGAAGGAGAGATTCCTCTTCTTTTCCCTCAATTTAAATAATCTACTTCCTGCTCCTGGTCCCATGCAGCAGTTAGCACATAGCCTCCCCACACCTCCAAGACGAAGGCCCAGTTTACTCTTTTTAAAAAAATATATATATATTTTATTGATTTTGTACAGAAAGGATGGGAGAGAGATAGAGAGTTAGAAACATCGATGAGAGTCATCGATCAGCTGCCTCTTGCACACCCCCTACTGGGGATATGCCCGCAACCAAGGTATATGCCCTTGACCGGAATCGAACCCGGGACCTTTCAGTCCCCAAGCAGACACTCTATCCATTGAGCCAAACTGGATTCGGCAAGGCCCAGTTTACTCTTAAATGGGCTTTGCCAGCTCAATATAGCTGGTCTCTCAAGTTGGTCCGAAGGTTGTGGGTTATTGTTAAGCTGATTAATATAGCTGGTCTCAGCATATGACCCAACTGTAACTGCGGGTCTGTGAGCAACAAGATTAACCCTTGAATAACTACACACGTAGACTCCATCACAAAGGAGAGGTCGAGAGTGAGTGCTACGTGGACACTGAGCTTGTTTTCATTGCTGCAGTGCTATCCCAGAGCACACGGGCACGGGGTCGCCTTTCTTCTGAGGTACGTATCCTCCTGTTATGAATTCTGTATTTCATCTGGACCATAACATTTGTATTACTTTGTACAACTTATTCTGGGAAACTGCAAATAGCAATATGGAGGTGAAAAAATTCTTTCTTAAAAAAAAAAAAAATGAGACCTTTTTCCAAAGAGAGATTTATGAAAACTTTTAAAAATATCTTATAACAGATTCTTAATAACAATTCTGTAGATTTATAGGTTTTAGTACTAGCTCATTCATTCATTCATTCATTCAACTAATTGCTGGAGCACCTAGTATGTTCTAGAAGTTGTGCTGGGCCCTGGGGGTAGGGGCAGAATAAAAATCCAGTTCCTACAGAGCTACTCTCTTACAAAACATTTGACCATGTGCTGACACAGTGCGGGTGCCAGGAGACAGAAAACTACAATCCCCTTGTTCAGCCATTAATTTCACAGCCTTCTTCCTCTTGCTCCTTGCGGAAACCCCCCCCCCCCCCCATTCTCTCTGACTGTGTGAATCTACCTGGTGGGGAGGGGACAGGGAGATGAGAGGGTGCCAGTGGGTCCTAGCTTCCATTGTGGGTGAGAGGCTTTTTATAAATCACCAACATAACCGACAACCTGCCTTAAACCTTTTGTGTTTATTTTTAAAACTAGAGGCCCAGTGAGCATGAAATTGTGCATGGTCAGGGTCCCTAGGCCTAGGCGGGCCTCCGTCGCATGGCCTCTGCCACCCTGTGACACGATGTGAAGCTCCCGCCCCGGATGCTCTGCGAGGCTCCCCCTGCCCCTCGATTGCTCCGTGAAGTCTGCTGCCTCCCCACGAAGCTCACCACCGCACGCACCGCGAAACTCCCCTCCCTGTCACTGCTCCGAGAGGCTCCCCGAACCCACAACTGCCCCGTGAAACTCCCTGCCGCCTGGGTGCCTGCGCAGCTAAACTCACGGCACCGGTGAAGCAGCCCGCCGCCGCCACTCTGCATCCCCCGTCCTGCCCACCGCCAGCCTCCCGGCAAGGCGAACGGCTCGGGGACCGAGAGCTCGGGGACCGAGAGGCGCTCCATGCACTTCATGGTGACCGGTCGCCCATTCGGTCATGATCCACTGAGCTCTTTACATATCAGGAAAATGAGACTAACACAGAGACACATTATCTTGGCCAGAGGCCACGGCTGCAGGCCAGCAGGCTGCACTGGCAGACGGGCAGCCAGGCCGCCTGGTTTCCGAGTCGTGTTCTCCCACGGAGCTCAGGTGCCTGTCCTCACACAGCCGAGGAGAAAACCTCAGGGCCAAAGCGCCTTCGGAACTCCAGGCTCCCTGTGCACCTCCCACGGGGTCAGACAGACATTTTCTTCATCGGAAGCAAGAGCTTCAGGTCCCGTTCACCCAAGACCTGCTCTATATTGACGACTTGAAGGAATTTATTTCTGAACAACGTGATGCCTAGTAGGGCGTGAGGCTTCGTCTTTCTCTAGAGGGAACGTGCTGACCGTCCGTCTAGCTGGTGTCCAGTGGGACACTGCAGGACACAAAGGGAGGTGGAGGGCTTGGCCTCCCCACCTGCACGGCCTGCAGTCCAGAGGGAGGGCCACCCCTATGACAGCCAAACCCCCTGGGTACAGTGAATCTCACATCTGGATGTCTCCAATTGACAGAACTTAAAAGGACAAAGGAGCTCAATCAAGAAAACTTCCTGGAAGAGGTGAATCTGCATTGTGGAAACCAGTCTGACCAGAGGAAGGACATACTGTTACCTTTCTAGTGGGCCGTACACATTGAGCTATTATTTCTCTTATGTGACTCCCTCTACTTTTTTGAAATAATATTAATGACTACAAAATGATGAAACTAAATTTAAAGTCATACATAATGTAAGAGACATCCAGTATTGAAATTTTACTACTCATCTATCTCAAAATAACCCATTTTGTCTAGGATTTTTCCTAATTCTGTGGATTCATCCTGTGGTCAACTGCTCACTAAACTCAGAGCAGCATCTGAAGCAATGTCAGTACACCTGGGCACTGTTTTCAATGGGGTTTTTCTTCTCTTAAAAACATCGTTATTACAATCACTGAAAGTTTTCCTTTGCTTCATCTAGACGTGTTAAGACTTTCTCTTCATCCTGTCACATCTACAAGAACCCTTACTTACGTGGTAAAAGCAGCGTTTACTTTAGCCCCAAGGTAGTAAGAGTATAGGATGAACATGCCAATCATAAAGGCGAGAAACACCATAATGAAGAGAACCATGAACTTGAAGATGTCTTTCACGGTCCTGCCCAGCGAGATCTGCAAGGGGCCGAAGCTCTCGTTGGCAGGGAGTATGTAGGCGATCCGGGAGAAGCTGAGCACCACGGCGATGGCATAGAGCCCTTCCGATATGATCTGAGGGTCGGAGGGGAGCCACTTATCTCTGGCTGGAAACAGAGAGGGAGGTTAAGAATGGGCCTTTCCATTCATTGCTAACTATGCAAAGCCAATACCTCCACTAGGTGCTGCCTTGTAGGGAAGTAGCTAATGTCTCCATTGGAACTATTCTAGATTTAATGAACAGTCTGGGCTCTATTTGACCCGTTAGAGCAGAAAAATATGAATCTTACACTTATGTGAATTATTCCAGAGGAGAGAACACTATTGTGGAGACACTAAGCTGACTTCGCATTGAGCAGAAACAGAAGAAAGTGCGAAAGATGGAGGTTGAATGCTTCATGAGACACAGGCGGTCAGGATGACAAAACGACAGGCCTGACTGACGGTTTATCAGCCAACAAGTCTGTCATCCTATAAACTGGAGGCATAAAACTTTTGTATACCATGGGAATCAGTTCATCTCACAGTTAATGAAGTAAAACGTCATAACTAGAGACATGAGAATGTCTAGGATCACATGGTGCTATCGACTTGGTATCTGAACAAGAAGCCATGTTCCTGAAAAACGAAAACTGCTACTGAGCCACAAATGTTCTAATGAGGTCCCCAGACCCTTTCAAGGTCCCTTCTCACGGTCACAGCAGACTGCTTCCCTGGAAGGCCAATGAAGGGCGATGGGGCTGCCTTTGTGTGAACCGGGCCACTCCCAGGAGAAGGCAGCATCGCACACCTTTGCAACAACAATAAAAAGCACCGTTTATTGAATGTTTACTATGCACCAGGCCCTGTGATTGCCGCAGCCCCACAGACCTGGTGTTATTATTATCCTCCTTTCAGAGATGCAGATAACAGGGCCAAGGTTAAAAACTTGATCAAAATCACACACATAATAAGCAGTGTGATCTAAGTTCACAGATTTCCCCTCAGATAACGGCCATTAATGACACATGAATACGGGTAAAGAAACGTGTGATTGAGAACTGAAGCATATAGTGCACAAAAATACAACCAAGTTAATTCTTTAATTACCGTACAAATGGCGATCACTTGTTTCTTTGATCTGGTCTCCTTGGTACAGAAACCTCTTTGCTCACTGACTCCACGGCAGCGCGCTTAGGCGTCACAGCGTGTAAAGCGCACCCCTCAGTGCGGTTAACGCGCTGCGCGTCCGCGCTGCAAGGCGCCTCCATGTCACTTACAGACTATGTATGCTTCACGTTGGAACACACGTGAACTCTGCCTGAGTTTCCTCAGCTGTAAAACGAAGGCAAGGCCCGTAATTCCTAAAGTCTTTTCCAGATTGAGATTTTGCAATGCTGAAAGCATTTGCTCACTGCGGGCGCCTGATCCTGCCTGGGGGGAGGGAGGCAACGGTTGCCTAACATGGCGCGTGCTGGGCGTGCAGGCATCGGGGTCCTCACACACGGGGCATGGGCCGGGCCACGCTGCTCTGTGACACAGACGTGTGGCACCTCCGCCTGCTGTGCCATCTGGAGGAGGGCATGCCCTCCTCTCTGAGATTCTGCCGGTTCTCAAGCCTGTGATCTTGTGGCCACACTGTGCACCTCACCTGTACGGGTCAGCACCTCAAAGACAGCTCCCAGGGACTCATCTCCCACACCAATCACTGTCTCCAGCTACTTCCCCCTCGTCAACACAGGCTCACGTCCTCAGCGTCCCTGAGAATAAACTATGTCCTTAGACTTAAAGGTGATCTTTCTCCCACCCTGCAGCACCTTCTTGTTACGGATGTGGAAGCTAAGGCACCGGGGAGTAGATGAACTTGACCACAGTCACCCAGCCCTGGATAGGAACCTGGCTCTGAAGCTCCTGCTGTCTCCACCGCCCAGAATCACTGAACTCACCTCTCCCGTCACAGGCCCTCCGAAATGCGGTTCCCGGCACCTCCGAGGACCCTGCAGCGAGGACTCACCGTACGTGAAATACTGTATTTCCGGGGGGAGAGTGGCTTCGCTCAGGTCGCTCTCTTGGACGTAGCTGTCCACGTACTGCTGTGCTTTCGTGGCCTGGAGAAAAGCCAGGAACCTGGCCGTGAACGCAGCGATGAAGATGGAGAGCATCCCGAAGTCCAGCACGTTCCAGAGCTGCACGATGTATTCCCTCGGGCCTTCCAGCCAGAGCTCCTTGCACTCGGACCACATCATTCCTGCCGCGACACACGGGGGACCTGGAGGTTTGCAGCTCTGCCTGAGACGCTCCTATTGGGCCCACCACCAGCCCCATCTCTACACACGCCCCCTCTGTAAAGCGCCGTGCTGGGTAGCACAGAGCAGTCTGCCTCGCTCACCGGGAAGAGGTAATGGGAGAGGAAGGTCCCCGGGAATGACTCACTCCGCCAAGTTAGGGTTCGGTGAAACACACCTCCACTCTCGGGCCCAGCAACACTGCCACTCAGAGAGAGGGGCCAGGACCGGGAGGAGGAAACGCCAGGAAGGCTCCCCAAGACATAGGTTTTACCACAGGAGAATTTTGAAGGAGTAAGAATTCATCTTTATAAAACGACATTGGTTCGTTACAGAGCCCTAGTCATTAGGGGAGAAATAGCCCTAAGTGAGCGTTGTCCTGTAGACTTTTAACAAGAACAGCTTCCCTCCCACCTGCCTAGCCGGTCTGACTCAGCAGAAAGAGCTTCGGCCTGCGAACGGATGGGTCCCAGGTTCGATTCCAGTGCAGAGCATGGACCTCGGTTGCAGGCTTGACCACTGGTCCTGGTCTAGGTGTGTGCAAAGGCAACCAACTGATGGGAAAATACCCTCAGGTGAGGATTCACAACAAAAGAACAGCTTCCCCATCGTGCCCCCCTCACTCCCTACCCCTTTCAGCTCCACGCTGGGGAGGGGGTGTCGCTGGGGAACCAAGCTCTTCAGCAGCGGAGCCCAGAGGCTATGAGGAAACTAAAGGCAGAAAAGGCTGCCGGGGAACAGAGGGCACACCACTCCTTGCCTTGACGATGTAAGGGGAAATCACTGTGGAATTTTTAAAAGAAACTCAATGGCTCAAAATAAAATGTCTAAAAAAACGACTTGTCCCAGATCGAGGCCACAGAAGTGAATGAGAGGAAGGAAGCAACCTATTAAACCAGGAATTGAGGAGACACCAGGAAACTGCTGGGGAAAATAGAAAGGACGCATGAAAAGGACTTGGGATTAGCAATCAACAGATAAACTCGCTCCCATATCCGTTGTTTCTCACACTGCCTAAAATTTTTACTTTAAGAGCCAGCTATTCCAAACGGGCTCTTGTGAGACAGAATAACTGCATTCTGAAAATGGACTCTCCTATCAGCTCTAGAATGGAAATGGTATCAATGTTTTTCAGCGTCAGCTGATAGCCACCTGGTGACGCCACAAGAATTTCAGTGAAATATTTGATCATTACAGTGAGTCACATTTAAAAACCTTCATTTTGTTCAATAATCAAAGTTAGATTTCAGGAACACAGTATATTAATATTCTTATGTTACTCATAAACATTTAAAATTTAGTATTAGGATAATTGGTAACATTATAAAAAAGTTAAATTATAGGATTATGTTGCTATTCTGCTAATCTAACAATGGTGACACTGCCACCATATATGTAAAATAAGATTTTAAATGGAAAATGACATTGGGGTGGTGAACACACAGTATAATATACAGATGTGTTATAGAATTGTATACCTGAAACCTGTATCATTTTATTAACCAACGTCACCCCAATAAATTCAATTAAAAAAAAAGAGAGAAAATGATTATCATTATGTAGATATTGGTTTTTGTTTTTGGTTAATCCTCACCCCAAGAATACTTTTTCCATTGATTTTTTTTTTTTTTTAAGAGAAAGTAGAAGGGAGGGAGGGGAAGAGACAGAGAAACATCCATGTGAGAGAAGCACATTGATTGGTAGCCTCCCGCACATGCCCTGGACCAGGATTCTAACCTGAGACCCTTTGCTGCTTGGGCCGGTGCTCTAACCACTGAACACACCAGCCAGGGCTAGACATTGTTTTTGATAGAAATCAGAGCACTTGAAATCCAAGGCTTACCAAGGACCCAAACCATTATTAGCATCTCGGTCCACGTGAACTGGGTGGTCTTGACCCTGAAGATCTGCTTGGGATAGTCGAGGACTGTGATGTTGGGCAGCGTGCTGACGCCTTCGAACCTGTCTGAGGCGTTGAACACAAGCAGGCCCAGGAAGAGGATGAAAGAAGCCGCATGCGCCACGAACTTCATGAAGGGGCTGCGCAGGACCTTCCCCAGCTGCAGTGAAACAAAAACAAATAAAATAAATTTTACTTTTGCAAATCTGGCTCCTACTTATGAAAGTTACTACACAGGGTAAGGAAACCCAACAGATGAAATGAGAACTTTCAAAGCTTTGTTTCTGTTTCTGAAAAGCTCTCAGTTATAAAAATGACTCCTTTTCGGGGATGCTTCCTCCAAAAAATAACTTAAGAAGTCTTCACACTTCAGTTTCTAAACATCCAATTTGCCTTAGGATCAACCACATTCACAGGTGCATTTCTGAAGTCACAGGGCACACCCTGGTGATTCTTTTTTTTTTTTTTTTTTAATATATTTTATTAATTTTTTTACAGAGAGGAAGGGAGAGAGATAGAGAGCTAGAAACGTCGATGAGAGAGAAACATCGACCAGCTGCCTCTTGCACACCCCCTACCGGGGATGTGCCCGCAGCTAACGTACATGCCCCTAACCTGAATCGAACATGGGACCTTTCAGTCCGCAGACTGACGCTCTACCACTGAGCCAAACCGGTTTTGGCACCCTGGTGATTCTTATTTTTACATTGAGAGACTATGTTGTGCCAAGGTTCTCAGAATCCTGGAAGAGCAGTCCCAAGTTTGTAGTGTGAATCCTTTACCGCTGTATCATTGGAATGTTATGATAAATTTGTAGATAAAGTCGTTCATTTACAACTGAAATGTTATGATGTATTTGTAGCACATTCATAACACTTGGAAGATTAAAAAGAAATCTTACTATTGCAGAAGTAAATTTTAGTACTCTTTTCTAAATATTCCAAAATCAAGTTGTGCTTCATATGATAGAAAAAAAGGCAAAAAATGTTCTAATCAGGATAAATGTTTTATCTGTTACTATCCCAATTAGAAGAGGGAGAAACAAATAATTAACCCTCTAAGTAGGTCACCCACCCTTGAGTTGGAAAATCATATAAATAGTACAAGAGCACCTTACAGTTCAGTTTATAATTACTTTAAGGTCCATCCTTTCAAATCCCACGTGACAGGATGTCCTCAGGAGCCCCGAATGAAAACATTCCTCCTGTGCCCAGGGCTTCTGAGGTCCAAGGACTGGGTACATTCGGTAGGTTTATCAACAAAGTTCTCCATCCTGCACACTCAAACCCTAGGGTTCAACTCAGTCCATGGCCTGAGAAAGCCCCAAGGTTCACATTGAAAGGACTGCAAACTCAAACAGATGTTTTCGTACATCCACGTCCTTAACGTGACATCAACAAATAACCAAGGGCTGTCAAGCGCTTCTGGGACCTTCCAGGAAGGCAGGCAGAACAACGCCACGTTTTCTACTGGAAAATGAACACGACTCTCACATCACTATGCTGCTGGGCAGCTGTGCATTGGCGGGGGGGGAGGGGGGAGTACAGCTCATTTCCTTGGGAATTGCCAAGTCTCCACAAGGTTGGTCTTTAAAGACTTCCAATAATATGAAAGGGAAGCAGCCTGCCTGTACTGCAAATGGGATGTGTGCAGAGAATTCTCGCCAGGCTCTTCACCATCAGGTAGATGGTATGTGGCAGGTATAAATGTGGGTAGGGACCACACTGTCCCTTCTCCTCCCCTCCCTGCTGGGCAGCGTTCCCACTCAGGGAGCTGGGTTTCTATGAGTGAAGAGAAAAGGGGGAGTGGACTGAGGGCGCCCACTCAGACTTGATGCAAGTTCCCACGAGCAAGACGCCCTGAGGGACAAACGCCCTGAGGGACAAACACGTATAAACCTGTGCTCCAGTTCCTTTGCCCCAGAAAGGGAAGCTATTTGGGTGGGATGTGACTTTTGCTTTAAGGCATGCTCTCTCACAGTATTTATAGTTTTTAGTCTTAAGCGATCACGCATTTGAGAAATCGTATGAGACTTTTCCATGATACATAACCAAGGAACTCAGTCAAGTCACCGAGATAGATCAAAATGCAAACTTTCCACCCTGAATTGCACAGGCAGCTCCAGCAGGAGTGAGATGGATGGATACCTCGTGCATAGATGGTGCCGGGAGGCTGCTGAGCCAGATGGATGACGGATATCCAGGGTCACTCGTAAGTGACCTTGACTCATTTTGCCTGAAACTGCCTCTGATTTAAACAAAACCAGATTTGGGAATGTAAAAACAGGATTAGGGATCTCAGAACAGCACTTGTCCCTGGCAGTGCCCTCTATGCGCCTAACGCAGATTCTGTAAGCTGCCTAGCTCTCGGTCTGGCTCAGTGGTCCCCTCAGGCACAGTCAGGTGAGCTCCACACTGGCAGTGGAGAGAGGGAGAAAAGTCGTGATGATTTAAGCAAAATAAAAGACCATAAAAAATTCCGAAGCCCCCATGCCCCAATGCTACGTTGGTCCTCCCTCTGAAGAGCGAAGAGCGTGGGGAACCTGACGTGCACTTTCTTGGACTTTGGATAACACCACGTTGGCAAATGGGCTTAATACACTCAGCCACGTGGCATGGACAGGTCCAGGGGAGCGCTGCCGGCTGTCAGGCTGGTGGGTCATGGTCCCCCTGTGGTAGGGCTGCTCTCTGGCCCCCCACAGCTGGCCCAGCAGCTCGCTATGGATTAAGCTGCCAACAGAATGAGAACGTCCGCAGCTTCACCCAGCGGCAATTTTATCTTAAAAGCCAAAGCGTCATGTGCCTGCAAGGCCATCTATTCCGCTGCACCAATCCTCTCTCATCCCCTTAGAACTGACCCCGTGGCTCAAAAGCAGCATTCCTGCTCCTGAGGCAATTAACACTCGGGTGAAACTGACAGGAGCCTTAAGGAGCAAGCTTTTTCCTTCCAGGAGGACCTGGCACACCAACCACAGAGGAAACGTGTGGGAGAGCTGTACCTGGCTGCACGGTGCGATCCAGTAGCCTATGGCAAGGAACGGGAGGCCCAAGGCCACCACCAGCACCACCAGACACTTGATGGCGATGGTCTGTTCCCGCAGCCCTGAGAGGTTCTCGTACCAGATGGTGAGGAGCTGCTGCTGGCAGTTGGGGTGAGCCACAAACTGGGGGGAGAGAAAATGAGGCGGGTTACCATACATTGTCCACAGTGCAACTGCTGAGGTTAACGTTAACACCCTGGATATGGGTACACGTGTGCCCAGAATGCACGCGCTGCAGGGCTCAGGACCCATTCCCGTTCCACTTCATAACGGCTTTTCCAAATTGCTCTAGGACTAACAGGAGAGCCACAGAGGAGACAGGAGGGTAAAGCAGAGATTGCCCTGGCCACAGTTCTTTCCAGGTGGAGCTCTCCATCATGCAGGCGCCTCGCTGGAACCAGGTGGCATACTTCCTCTGTGGACAGGCGGCCCAGCTTGCTGCCTGCTGGCTTACCTGCCTTCAGCTCGGATGGAAAGGAAGCAGGGACTTGGTTTATTGCAGACTATAGGCAAAGGCGAAACAGGCTACGTTTCACGAACCGCTCCTAAAATGCTACTCGTGGGAAAATATATTCATGATGTGGCCTACATGTACGTATGCACGACCACTGCAAATCTGCAAAAGATTTGCGAGATATAGGTGAACCTGCAGGTGCTATGCTCGGTGCACGATGTATGGGGGTCCAGGAGCTGGCGCAAATGTCACACCCTTCCTATGCGGTAATTTGTCCTCTTTTTATGGCTTCCTCTATCAGAGTTTAGGGATCCCCCCCCCCAAACATTTATCTCCTGTAGCAATTTTATAATTCTCATCAGGAAAAGTGAGCACATTATACCAACTTCATCCCTGCCATCATGTTTTATTTTGCCACCTGGCTTTGCCAAGCCACCTGCCTGCATCTCTCTGGAAGAACCGGGACTCCTTTAAGGCCCTGTCCTTTTTCAGGGAGCAGAACGGACATGTCATCAGGCTGATGCCAAAGGGTGCCCTTTGGAACTGGGTCAGTTTCTCTGAATGGCCAGGTGCATTTGCCCAGGCTCAGGACTTATTCAGGTTCATTCACAAATCAACTATAAGTGCCAACATATTTTTATTTATTTTTTATTTATTTTTGTACTGATTTGGGAAAGAGAGAGAGAAAAACATCAATGATGAGAAAGAATCATCGATGGGCTGCCTCCTGCACATCCCCTAACAGGTAATGAGCCCGCAACCTGGGCATGTGCCCTTGACTGGAATCGAACCCGGACCCTTCAGTCTGCAGGACGATGCTCTCTATCCAGAGTCAAACCACCTAGGGCAAGTGCCAACATATTTTTTAAAAATTAATTTTTATTGTTCATTTTATTACAAATGTTCCTTCCCCCCACCCCCCCCCATTGCTCTCCTCCACCAGGTTCCCACCCCACCCTCTGCCCTTTCCCCACCCCCCATTGTCCTCATCCATAGGTGCACAGTTTATGTTCAGTCTCTTCCCACATCCCCCTCTCCCCTTTTCCCCAAGAATCGTCAGTTTACTCCCCTTCCATACCTCTGATTCTATTATATTCAACAGTTAATATTGTTCATCAGATTTTTTTTTTAATTTCCTTGGCTTTTAGATTCACTTGTTGATAGTTACGTATTTGTTGTTCATAATTTTTATCTTTATTTACTTTCTCTTCTGAAAGAACCCCCTTCAGCAATTCATATAATTCTGGTTTGGTGTTGATGAACTCCTTTAGCTTTTTTTTTTTTATTAGTGAAGCTCTTTATCTGACCTTCGATTCTGAGTGATAGCTTTGCTAGATAGATTATCTTTGGCTGTAGGTTCTTACTATTTATCACCTTGAATATTTCTTGCCATTCCCGTCTGGCCTGCATGGTTTCTGTTGAGAAGTCAGCTGACAATCGTATAGGTGCTCCTTTATAGGTAACTACCTTCTTTGCTCTTGCTGCTTTTAATATTTTCTCTTTGTCTTTTGCTCTTGGAATTTTAATTATGACTTGTCTTGGTGTGGTCCTCTTTGGATTCCTTTGTTTGGAGTTCTGTGTGCTTCCTGGACTTGTAAGTCTAATTCTTTCACCAGGTGGGGGAAGTTTTCTGTCACTATTTCTTTCAGTATGTTTTCGATATCTTGCTCTCTCTCATCTTCTGGGACCCCCATAATTCTGATATTGGTTCGCTTGAAGTTGTCCCAGAGGTTTCTTACATTATCTTCAATTTTCTGGATTCTCTTGCCTTCTAGCTTCTGCAGAGGAGTGTCTTCTGGCTCTTTATGTTCCAAATCTTTGACTTGATTCTTGCCATCTTCCATTCTGTTTTTAGGACTCTGTATAATATTTTTTATTTCAGAGAATGTATTCTTTATTTCTTGTTGATCCCTTATCATTTCTTGTTGATTCCTTATTAATTCTAGTTGATCTCTTTTCATATCCTCATAGGTCTTATTGATCTTTTCTAGGAAATTCTTGAAAAACCTTATAAGTGTAGATTTGAACTCTATATCCAGTCGCTTTTTGTCCTCCATTTCTTTCATTTGTGATCTATTTCGTTGTTGCATTTCGCAGCTACAGATGGGGCGGGGTTTCAGGGTGGAGCCTACAGCCTTGGCTTCCGTCAGCCCCGCCTTATGCGGCTCCTGCATCTCAGGGTCCTTCATTACTCGCTGCCAGCACCTCTGAGAGAAAGGTGTCCTCGATTTTTGCTTGCCTGCTACCAAACAGTCAATGCTCTCCCCCAATGAGCTCGGTATTGGGGTTCAGTTCAGTTGGAAGTGGAGTTGGAGGCGGCGTTCAGAGCAGACTGGCGCCCCAGTCTCCTTCCCGCCAGGGCAATCCCGCGGCACAGCCAACCGTCCCTTCTCTGTGCGCAATGTGCACGCCGCGGGGATCTCCTTTCACCGCTCCCCCGGGTTCCGCCTTACAGCCCAGCTCCCTCTGGATGAGCCTGGGTCCCCGGGGTCTGGCCTAGAACTGGGGTTCAGAGCAGTCAGGTCTGGGGTTCAGCACAGTCAGAGCGTTTATCTCCTTCCTGCTAGAGAACACCAGCCAGGCACTCAGCCGCCCTCCTCTCCGGCTCCATCCTCTCCGTGGGCGCAGCGTGTCTCCGTACCTTAGGCTTTTACAGCTCCTCCGCGCTTCCTTCTGGTTTTCTCCTTGCTTCTCGTTGTAGAATTTCCAGTCAGTCGACTTTCCTGTAGTTCTGGGTAATGTCCACTTTATATTTTAGTTGTATTTTATTGAAATTGTTGTGTGCTGCTGCGGCTAGGTGTTTACCTGGGCGCAGCCATCTTGGATTCTCCAAGTGCCAACATATTTTTAAAAAGAGTGTTTAGCACTACTAAAGTCAAAGTACCACTGTCTTCTACAAAACAGAATAAACAGTAAGTTAACCAGTTAAGAGGCACCCTTGAGATGTTTTTGTGAAATATGAGAGGAAAAGGAGGCAGGCAGAGGGCTCATCTCTAATCAAGTCCTAGTTCCCGATCCTGAAGCTCTAGGTAATTCCAACGTTATTTCACTATTTATCAAGAGCACGCCTCCAGGGCAATGAAGAGGTTTTCACTTCCTGGTTTATAGTTTCTTTTCATTAAAAAAAATAAAACCTCATCCCTCAGGGTGGGCAGTGGAGACACAATTTCCCCCAGACTTCCTCTCACCCTCTGGAAGCCTGGGGTGGCCATTCTGGCAGCAGCCACAGTGTCTTTTTGCAGGGGAGACAGATGTGGTTGACAGATGTGGTTGAGGATGAGTCTCCAAATACTAGATTTGAGATACTTAACTGAATTTTTTTCAGTAATACAAACTGGTAGGATTTGGGAGAGTCAGAAGTAAAGAAGATGCTATCTTTTCTTGTTGATGAGCTCAATGTGAAAAAGAGTATTTGAACCTTCCGGTGGGCACTGCCGGCCATGAAGTAAAGACCTTCTTTCCAAACTCAAGATCTGTCACTTTCCAACGTTCTGATTTTTGAAAATAGTATTTCAAGGTCAATGCAGACATTATTTGAACTCATGATACATGTGTGGATATATTCAAGGTGGATGGCTTCTGGAGATCTCTGTGGCAATTTCCTAGGATTCTTGAGAACTCCAAATTTCCACTTCTTCCCTGTGTCTGAGCATCACTTCCTTTCTGCTTCACCCCTCCTTCAATCTGAGAAATCCTCATCCCCTCTACAGCCCCTATCTATCTCATTCACTCACTCACTCACTCACCCTTCAACATATCTTAAGTCCATCCCATGAGCTTAGGCCTTTGGTACAAGGAGATGAAATGGAAGCATTCAGCATTGGCTTAAGTGAAGAGTGCTCCTGACCTGCGGCACAAGCAAGCTATCAATAAATGTGATTAAAAATGGCGGTGGAGTAAGTAGATGCTACACAGACACTCCTAGGACCAAACTGAACTGCAACTAAAATACAAAAAAAAAACCAAAAAACAAAACACACACACATACCATCTTGAATAATCAACTGAAGATTAGTTAGAGAGAACCTTGATAACCATGGACTGAAAGTGGAGACTGCATAGAGACTCGTAGGAGGAGCAGAGGCGTGAAAGGGCTGGCTGGGTTCAACAAACAGCAACTGAAGTTCCAGAGAGATAGCTCAGCTGTGGGTGTTCCACTGAGAACTCTGGGGTATGATCCGCAAGTTGGGCCCCCCAGCAGAGAACATCAGAATTGAGAAGAGTAGCCACACAATATCTGGCTGTGTAAAGTAGTACACGGGGTTGCTGTCTGCCAGGGAGAGGAACGGCTAGAAATTCAGGCATCCTCTTAAAGGGCTAATGCACTAAAATTTCTGTGCAGCCACCCACCTTGTGCTCTAGCAGAGGGAGGGCAGAGTGGACTGGAGCTCTGTGAGAAGCCAGGATTGGGGGCTCTGGAGTTAGGGCTTGGAAAGCAGATACCCCAGTTTCCTGTGCTGAATCATTCCCTCAAGCTAGGGAGGTCATCTTTCTCATGCAGACCTTTGCTATGCAGATGGTTTTTGCCTGGGGAGGAATGTAGTTGCCCCACCATATTAGAAAATACCTTGCCCCAGGACTTGGCGTTTCTGAGGCCTTTTAAGAGACTGAGAATAACAGCCTCCAGGCAGAAGCAATTGTCCAACCCTGTTGAAAAACACTCTTCCCA